CTCCTGACCAGATAAGACTTCGTTTTGATAATAAGCGAGACAAACAGCTCTAGCTTCAGCACCCATTCCAAGATATTCAACATTTTCCCAAATGCTTTTAAAATTGTCTAATGTCAAACTATCATAAAATTTATCAGCATCTCCATCGTAAAAATATTCGAGGATCGGATCGAATGCCTCGGGAGATGGGAGCGTGATTGTGATGACGTCACCATTCGAAACGTTATCATTATCAAATATTTCATTAAATAAATTTGATTGAAGAACCAGATACTCTTTATGTACCCAATAGAATTTACTGTTTCCTTCAATATGAAGTTCAGCAAATGCTGTTGATTTGTCATTAAAATAGTTTGGTCCGAGTTGATGTAATTTCTCGAGGATATAAGTTACCGGAATTCCTTTGATTAATGGAGAAACATTGGCATTGCTAACGGTAATTGTCTTCAAATTTGGAACGCATTGATCAGCGGACATGAATGGTGTCGTAGCAGTAGTCATCTTATTATTTTTTTTTTTCGAAGTATTTCTAATACTTCCTAGGATTATATCGAGTTTGTGAACAAAGTCTTGAGAAAAAAACAAAGCATCTTTATATATTTACCGAGAACATAGCATTAAAGAAGGACGAAATATTAATGAAAATCTTGTACCTACTTGGACATCAATAAACGGAGTTGTAGGTTAAGCAGCAGTGTAGTGTTACCAGACTCCGTAAAATCACGAGAAAAAACAATCACAGGACAATGTTCATATGCGGACAGCATTATTGAAATAAAACCTTTTGGCCCAGATTTAAACATCTGTGTGACTAAGAAAATGAAAATTATGCTTATTTCTGCAACTATAGTGTTTCAAAGAACAATACTTTCGAATTCATTTAATCTTTACCATTGTTAATATATAAATACATTTAGCTAAAATCCTTTGCATATACATATATGTACAAATTTCTTGATAATGAAATTGAATATGATGGGAAATTGATGAAACGATTATAGCAAACAAACAAAACGAGTGGACTTGTCATGACAGTTAAGTAGAAATTGTCTTCTCCTTTCGGATATTTGTATTCTAAAAGTAAAAGTATTGACGTTTTTATGTTTTCATATGTAACAAGTTCGCGAGGAACCGATTAAGATAATACCAAGTTTTAAATACGTATTATTTGTTCTGTAAATTCCTAGAGTTTTAGATATTTAATAATTTATTCTTGGGATATGTTTATTATTATCTTCTATTACTAATTCAATCGTACAAGAAATGCTCAAAGCACATGTAACACGGCTTTCAGGAATATTTAGAACCTTCATTATTTTTAACACTGTCTCATAGTAAAATATAATAAGAAAATGATACGTACGAACCATTATCGTGAAAGTGATTATACTTATTATTATCTTTATTGTCATCTCACAAAAAGTACTGATACCTTACTATAGTAAATGAAACTCCCGCTAAAACGGTTTCCCTCCACATTTTTTTGAATGCTGATTTATTAATACCAAATTTGTCGAACATCTAATTTAAGACATTTGTTAAAAATTATCGATATATTCTTAGCTTTATGCGTACAGCATTTATCGATGTTACCTGATCTGTTTAGGACGGCTCAATGTGATACTTAGTATCACATCAGTTTGCTTACTTACTATACTTATATTTTATTGTCTAAATCATGTGACACTAATCATAACACAGATTAGTCGTCACAAATTATTTGCTAATATACGAACACTACGTATCGCGTAAATATTCCTGCAATTCCGCAAATCCACGATGGAATTTTAACTACATGCATTTTGCATGAATGCATTTCCTTACTAAGCAGACGATATGAAGTGTCAGAACAATAGGATTTTTTAATTTTCCATTGTTCTTCATTTTCATGCCTTCATATTGCCATTTCCTTATTCGATTTTCTTTATTTATTAACATAGTGAGGATTGAAACAATGAACTGTTCTGTAAGCTCCGAGAACACAACAGTAAAATGTCGCCAATAATGATTTCTATTTGGCGATTTAATGGCGTAATCAGCATTCGTTCTAATATGCTTGATTTTCCGCATGCAATGACGAAATTTTGATAACAATTAATTGTATGCTGGGTGTTGAATTACATACGCTTTATATAATACAAAGATAAAGATTCCTTTAATATTGTTTTAATTTGTCTAAATTAATTTCGTGATTTTGAATAGAAGTGAAATAAGCAACGTGCAGTAGAGTGGCATTCGCCGTTATCTCGTTACCGCAGCGATCTATCTATCAATATTGAGTATATCGATATATAATATAAGAATATTCTAGAACTTCGACTAACATTAATGAC